CCAATTCCACAAGTCCCAAATTCTCAAATTTCTAAATTCCACAAGTCCCAAATTCCCAAATTCCCAAATTCCCAAATTTCCAAATTCTCAATTTCCCAAATCTCCAACCCCAAACCTCCTACCCACACCCTAATAATATTCACTCTAAATACCCTTGCCAACCCCACAACTATCACCCAAACATCCGACCATATAACAAGCGCCAACTCCCATCCAACTCACATTAACAAAACCTCAGCCACCAAGAATCTTTCGCCCATACTATACCTCACCATCTCAACCTCACAACTCAACTTTCACATAAAAATGGCAATATAACGCGAGCCTCCTGCAAACATCCATTTGCAAACCTTCTTACAGTCGTCTGACATTTTTTCGAACACGAAAGCATAGACGTCGCGTCTGAACGATCCGCATACGAAATTAATAGTCGGAAACGACGAATTAATGTTTCAGAATGCTAGCAGGAGTCAAAGTGGTCGAACGTTTCCGGCGTGGGTCGCGCGCGTGCACGCTTCGCTGAAACTTTAACGAGGCACGTGCGCAAAATTGCAACAGGACTGGTGTGTGCCTCGGAAGGAAGAAGCCGAAGAAAAAGGAATAGAACGAAACGAATATGGTGTCGTGGTGCATCGACTTGAAACCACCGCCTGGCGAGAGCAATTTCTAGTCCTTCTTCGTTTATTATTCAACGACGTTGCGTGTCGACTTTCCCGGCACAAGACACGTCACTTTTTCTGTAATATTCGACGAAAGAGAAAACCTTGTAGAAATTTTAATGCGATTTTGATTGATCGTTTTTGAGTCATTCGATGTTTAATTTACGCTAAAATGACGCATCTGCATTTCATTTTATATTATAGAAATTATTGAGTTTCTGGTCAAGTTTTAGCTTTTGTTTAAGTGGAGAATTATGTGAATTAAGCTTAGATCTGTATCTCAGTTTAAATTATAGAAATTATTGAGATGTTTCTGTTCAAGTTTTAACTTTTGTTCAGATAGAGTTATGTGAATTAATCTTAGGTCTGCATCTCAGTTTAAATTATAGAAATTATTGAGATGTTTCTGTTCAAATTTTAACTTTTGTTCACATGGAGAAATATGTGAATTCCCCTGTTGATTAATTGTTGTAATTTATTTTTGATCTGAAAGTGTTTGTTGAACTGGTAAACCTAGTTACTGTACGCCTTTGCTAAATCTTTCGCTGCGGTACAGTGACAGTCAAGAGAAAGTATAACCCTTTGCACTCGAAGGTATTTTTACTGTCTTACTGTTCTACTTTCATCTAATTGTCACTATTATCTGTCTCACTACATCTATACATCACATGTATAAAATTATAGATTTAGACAACGAGTATTTGTATCAACCTATTGCATTAAACCTGATCATATGAGTGTGAATTAATATGGAACTCCTCTAAGAAAAATATTAAAAACTTGTACAAAACTGATAGAAGAACTAATATTATTCTGCATGAATATTTTAAACAATTCAACCAGAAAATGATTATTATTATCATCATTAAAACTTCACAATCTAACACTTAAGAACTATTGTTATACTAAATGAACAATTTAAACAATTCAATCAGAAAATGATTGTTAATAATATTATCAAGGTTTCACATCTACCATTAAGATTTTAGAGAAGTTCAAAAACACTTTACATAGAAGAAACATTCTAAAACGATAGCATACATATCAAACCATTTTTTCGCTAAGACTCCCATCCACAAATAGAGTTAAATCGTATCATTTATCACCTGAAGTTCCAGTTGGAGAATGTTGGCCACCCGGAAGAGCGAAACAGAACCGTTCGCTTTCTAGCGATGCCAGAAACCATAGCGAGTCACTAACATTCACCTAACTCCTAACGACAAAATCAAAGCTAGCATAACTGTACTTTAATAGAATGGTCCAACAATCTCGTGGCCGTTAGTTTCGTTTCATCGTGGAATCCAGGGAATCATTAGTTTTTGTTGGCTTCGCTCGGGTGATACTCGGTCAATGTGAATGGAGAGGGATACCTTCGAAACTTAAGAAATTTGAAAATTTGGAAGATTGGGAATTTTAGAAATTTTTAGAATTTTAAGAATTTTGTGAATCTTGAAATTGTTATTTGGGTATTTGTAAATTAGGAGGTTTGAACTTATGACTTTTTATAAAATTGGAACTTTGAGAAAATTGGAACTTTCTCAAAATTTCTTGCAATTACTAAAAGTCTGAAGATCTCCAAGTTACTAAACATGCAGATTTCCACATCTTCCAAGTTCTGAATCTTCAAATTCCAAAACTCCCATGTGTTCAAATACTTCAGGTTCCAAAACTCCAAATCCTCAAATATTTCAACTTCAATCTCCCAAATCTACAAATCTCAAAAATTCCCAAAACTACGACTATAGATCCCCCGACTCCCAAATGTCCACATCATCCAATACCTAAATTCCGATATCTAAATTTCCAAATACCCAAACCTCCAAATGCTCCCCCTCGATCTAAAAATCCCCAAGTCCCCAAATTTCAAAGTCTGAAGCTCCCAGATTCAAACCCAAATTAAAACCCAATATCCTAAATTTCCAAAGACGCATCTAACCTGTCGAGTTGTTCGAGAGATAGCGGCTAACGAAAGAGCGCCGCCAGCGTTATGAAAAAGGCCGCTCTTTTTCGCCCCTCGTCTTCCTTGGTCTTTTCCTTTTCCGTGGACACAACGGATCTCGCTTCGACAGGTATCGCCTTTTCCCGTGTCGTGCGCTCCGCTCGAGCACACTTAATGTCAATAACCGTGTTGCATTAGTTGCCGGTTCGCTTCTTTCTTTACCGTCGCGGGTTACGCTCGCTCATCTAGCAGCGATTAAAAATGGTTAAAGCGTCATCCGCGACACATCGAGCGATCCTCGCTGTCGTCTCTGTGTGTGTGTGGTTCTATGTGTTGTTCGCCCACCCTAGGCCCGTTTTACGTGATATGCTCGTCGGAGCAAAAGATGTTCCCAATGGCTGCACCGTCGCCTGCATCCTCTTTGTACACTTTGTTCACGCCGTGAAGGCGAGTCGAGCGACATCGTCGTAAGGCACATCCTGACCGACCCTCTTGCTCCTTTTTTTCAACGTTGTCGCTTTTTATCTTCGAAGGTAAAAAGTCTCGACGACGAATTGCGCGACGGAGGATACGTAACGATGCTAAAGCGACGTTTAAGGGGTGATTGCCGAAATTGTTTTTTCGGGCTCTAACGAGAAGGCTGAATGTGATGTACGTGTGAAGATATCTGGGATTCGGGATCTACGAGGTCGTGGACGACTTTACGAGGGTAATCGTACCCGTTTGATATGCTCCATATGAAGGTCTCTCCGTAGTTGAATTCGTCATCTTGGAAATTTCGACATTCAGGAATTTCTGACTTACGTTTATGGATTATTAAATTGAAAACAAATGGTGAGTTTATAAATTTGGAACTTTCAAATTGAATTTAAATTTGTGGCTGCAAGTTTACAAATATGTTTGCAGTTTGCAAATATGTTTGCAAGTTTACAAATATGTTTGCAATTTACAAATATGTTGGCAAGTTTACAAATTTGAAAAATTAAGAAATTTGAATTGTAATGTCAGAAAATATTTAACATGTACCCGAAATAGCCCTGCAATCGATACACGAGCGTTATAACTGCATTCTTTCGATCCCGGTGAGAGTCCGAGTGAAAGACGAGGGCGACATAACTGTGAGGGGCCAACGAATAGACAGAAGTTGCAACATCAAGAAAGCTCCACGTGCAACCGATGATGCAACGATTAGTCGTGCATTTGGTAACATTAGGAAAGGCCTTCCAACTGGCCCAGATAAAACGTCACCGTCTCAATTTCGTTTATAACTAATTCTCGAAAGTTCAACGATACCGATTATCGCAATAATTACTCCGAATCGCGGTGATTTAATTGCACGCGTACTCGAGCGATCTGGTTGTAAACACGATATCGGTATCGACGCGATGTAAATAAGCAACGATTCTCGTAATTAATTCACTTTAATGAGAAATAAATTTGGAAGAAATATTTTTCGCCGCCACGTAATCGTTCGCGATGAATCAAAAGACACGTGTTGTGTTTGCGAGGAGCTTAGCGAACTTGTGTAATCGATGATACATTTATTTCCTTCTGATATCGTGGCCGCAGTTTTTTATTGAGAATCGACTTAATCCGTAATTATTTAACGCGGGTGAAATAGAAATAACGCGATAATGCGGATTAGAGCGTCGGAGATCAATGTTCTTTTATCTAACAATTTGCCATTTTAAAAATACTCGCTTTCGTTTCTTAATCGTCAGATTTAGACACTTCAAGCTTTAGATTTAGACATTTTCAAGGTTTCGAGCTCGGAAATTTTTGCATTCACATTTTCATGTTTTAAGTTTTACCAAAGTTTAAATTTCTGAACTTTAAATTCTCAAATTCTACTTCAGATTAACTTAAAACATCAAATAATCTCCCAGATACTTAACTCGTTGAATTTAATATATCATTTAGACCGTTAAGAAATTTTCCTCTCCTGTATGACGCTTATCACTATACTAACTATGGTAGCAACAACTGTATCAATCGTATGTAAATTGGCAAACTGTATCGCCCATAATACAAATTTCTTTAATTCTGCTCTCTCCTTATTTATCTTGCTTGTACGTAAAAACTGTGACGTTATTTCTTTTATATTCTTTTTATATTTCTTTCATATTCCATCCGAACTTAATTACCTCGATCCGAAAATTTTATAAATATCATACAGTAAAAGAATAAACTTGTACACATATTTGATAAATAAATCAATTAAACAAATTAACATGTGTACATAATGTTAAAATTAGAAATGTACACTTCATAAGTCTCATCATAAAAATATACTTTGAAGACTGTCATACAAGATGTATAGTGATTATACAATGTAACCACATCATTATGAGGAGTATAATTGTTAAATTGGATGTAAAGGGAATTGATTAGATCTGACTCACCATCTGGAGTGGAAACGGTGCCAGCCTTGTTGATCTTCGTATTCCACATAGCAGGGGTGGTGGGTGCAGGGCTGAGATCAGGAGTAGGTGGATGAGCGGGCGGTAAGGGCACCATAGCGTGGCCAACTTGCCCTCCATGTTGCATTTGATCCGAATTTGAACCGTAATGACCACTATCGAACCCCCTTCCCCCGGAATATACTTCGCCAGACAGTCTTTCCGCCAATTTTTCTGCCCTCTCCCGATCGCTCAACGCTACTGGTTCCTGCTTTATTCGAAGATCTGCAAAATACAATTACTTTGTTAATCATAAACTTATGCTTTCAATTATACTTGCTTAGCATTGCACCGATATCACTTAAGTGTAACTATTCGTTCGTAGTGGAAAAATCCAATAGGGTACACAACCCCTATCATTTGATACAGTATAATCAGAGACTAATGAGAGTAAGAATAATGAACCATATGAACATCGTCATTTTTCATGACCAAAAGTGTATTAAAATTTGCAATTGGCAAATTTCTCATCAAATGGTTAATTGATAAAAAGAGTCTCACCTTCGGCTACGCTTTCCTTGAGATCGCAATTGCTACGTTCCTCGGACCTCGCTCGTTCCAATTCTTGTTCCAGTTCCGTGGGCGTGTGTGGCGCTGTGTGAGGATGTGCGGGTGTTTCCGAAGGGTGGATGAATGGCTGATAGAAATGGTTCTCCAGGATAAGCGGATGTGGCGCTGATGCAGGCCGAAAAGCAGTACCGTCGCGCAACACGCTCGCCCTTCCTAGAGTATCAACATCGCTCGGCGATCTGGAAAAATGCACAAAAGTATGACGTACACTTACAGTAGATCGAAACTTGCAAATAAATCATGCAATTTGAGACCTGTCTTCGTACTATCGAATCTACACTAAATCTATTCATTGTTTATGTACTAAGTTTCATTTTGCAGATTTATAAATATAATTATGGAATATGAATGTCTAACAATAATGTACCCAATAAAAATGTCAACTTCATAAGTTTGACTTTATATTTTGAGACTACCATCAAAATCAACATAACAACTGAGAGGAAAGACTTGTTCAAAAAGATCCAACCCTAATCAACCCTAATATTAATCCCAGATAAATGAATATATAGAGTCAGATGAAACACGAGAGACAATTATCATCAACGCTCATTAGCAACGTGCTCGAGTGTGACCATATACGTATCCGCAGGGTTAATCGCGTGACGGTCGATCAATGGTGGAATGCGAGCCACGATTCGGCCTTAGAAGGCCGGGAAGGTTGGTTACATTTGAAAATTTCACGACGATAAAAGGGCTTACCTCATCAGCCTTTTCGGCGGGCTTTCGTAATAGTGAGAGGTAGAGTAGAGACTGGGCACGGGGTACGCAGGGGCGGGCGAAGGGGCCGGTGTGGGGGTCCTCTTCATGGTGTTTCTCACCATGGTCGCTTCACCCGTTTCGGCCAGATCGCTCACTTCCCCGAC